TTGACTATGATGAAACCTTTTCTCCAGTTGTTATGCTGAAATCCATTCGGATAATGCTTGCGATTGCAGCCTATTACGATTACGAAATTTGGCAGATGGACGTCAAGACGGCTTTCCTTAACGGGAACCTTAAAGAGGATGTCTTCATGACACAGCCTGACGGTTTTCAAATTGCTGGTCAATCTGCCAAAGTTTGTAAGCTGCAACGTTCAATCTACGGATTGAAACAAGCATCTCGGAGTTGGTACATACGCTTCGACGAAACCATTTCCAGTTTTGGTTTTGAGAAGAACTCTGACGAATCTTGTGTATACAAGAAGGTCAGTGGGAGTGTAATAGTATTCCTAATATTATATGTCGATGACATATTGTTAATGGGTAACGGTATTCCTGCTCTCACTTCTGTAAAGACGTGGTTGAGCGAGAACTTCTCCATGAAAGACTTAGGGGATGCTAGTTATGTCCTTGGCATAAGAATCTACCGAGATAGATCAAGAAAGTTAATAGGTCTGAATCAAAGTACATATATAGATAAAATCCTTGATTGATTTAGCATGTCTAACTCAAAGAAAGGATCTTTACCTATGACACCTGGCACGGTTCTTTCCAAGAGCCAGAGTCCTTCTACTCCTGAGCAGAAGGAACTCATGATGAAGGTTCCATACGCTTCTGCGATTGGATCCATCATGTACGCCATGATATGTACTAGACCTGATGTCTCATTTGCTTTAAGCGTGACCAGCAGATACCAGGGAAGTCCAGGAGAAGCACACTGGACAGCGGTCAAGAACATCCTCAAGTATCTTCGCAATACTAAGGATGCATTCCTGGTATACGGTGGTGAGGAAGAGCTAAAGGTGGTCGGTTACACTGATGCTAGCTTCCAAACCGACAGAGACGATTTAAAATCACAAGTAGGATATTTGTTTTGCCTGAATGGCGGAGCTTTTAGCTGGAAGAGCTTCAAGGAGGATACAACCGCCGATTCGACTACAGAGGCTGAGTACATAGCTGCCGCCGAGGCAGCTAAAGAAGCTGTTTGGATCAAGAAGTTCATTACTGAACTTGGAGTGGTTCCTAGTATTAATGACCCTATCTCGTTGTTTTGCGACAAC